TGGCTCAATGAACAGCTACACATGTGCATTTGCCAGTACATCGATCGTTTAGGAGTGAACAACTGGTGGGCAAGCATTACAAGTCCTGAATGTACAGTCTGATATGGCAAATAGTGAGCAGAATGTACTTTAGGCACAGTTGTTCTGGGTATTATTTAATTATATTCTCCAGTTAGACAGCTTATGTTGAAGTGTAGTTAGCAGCTTAGTAAGGGATGAGCCGGTGTTGTTTTTCATAGAATCATAGAATAGTTAGGGTTGGAAAGGACCTTAAGATCATCAAGTTCCAGCTCCCCTGCCATGGGCAGGGATACCTCATACTAAGCCATATCACCCAAGGCCTCATCCAACCTGGTCTTGAACACTGCCAGGGATGGAGCATTCACAACCTAACTGGGCAAACTATTCCAATGCCTCACCACCCTAACAGGAAAGAATTTCCTCCTTATATCCAATATAAACTTTCCCTGTTTAAGTTTCCCTTGTCCTGTCACTGCAGTCCCTAATGAAGAGTCCCTCCCCAGCATCCCTATAGGCCCCCTTCAGATGCTGAAAGGCTGCTGTGGTCTCCACACAGCCTTCTCTTCTCCAGGCTGAACAGCCCCAACTTTCTCAGCCTATCTTCATATGGGAGGTGCTCCAGTCCCCTGATCATCCTTGTGGCCCACCTCTGGACTTGTTCCAACAGATCCATGTCCTTTTTATGTTGAGGACCCCAGAACTGTACACAATACTCCAGGTGAGGTCTCACAAGAGCAGAGTAAAGGGGCAGGATCACCTCCTTCGACCTGCTGGTTACGCTTCTTTTGATGCAGCCCAGGATACGTTGGCTTTCTGGGCTGCAAGCACACACTGCTGGCTCATGTTTATTTTCTCATTGACCAACACTCCCAGTTCCCTCTCTGCAGGGCTGCTCTGAGTCTCTTCTCTGCCCAGCCTGTAGCTGTGCCTGGGATTGCTTTGACCCAGGTGTAGGACCTTGCACTTGGCATGGTTAAACTTCATGAGGTTGGCATCAGCCCCCCTCTCAAGCGTGTCAAGGTCCCTCTGGATGGCATTCCTTCCCTCCAGCAGGACATTGACACACTTTTTAATACTGAACAGGAGCTTCTGTAAACTAGTCTTTCCTGACTAGCAAATGTACATTCAAAATTATAGACCTGCTTCTTATGGATTAAGGATGACACAGGTGCCCGATGTAAGGTCTACAGTTTTATATATTTTATAAGCACGTTGTGAATATAGAGCATCTGATGACTTCGTGACCCCTCAGCAGTAAACCTGATCTTAGCAGGGTGGGGAAGAAGGCTTCACTAAATTTCTGAAGACTCAGTGGCTTCTCTGTGTGTGGTAGTGTTAAAAGCCCTGAGTTAATTCAAATCTTGAGTTTCTTCCTTTGCTAGCTATCCAGAAGACCTCCTTTGATAGTAAAACAAAATTTGTTTGACATGGTTTTGTTCTTGGCAAACACTGACTTTTTTGTTTTCTTGTCTCCTTTTAAATGCTTACTGGAACAAATAGCCTATTAATGCTAATTCTAAACCTGAAGTTAAACTTACTGGCCCATAATTTTTCAGTACTTTTTAACCTTTTATTTAGTCTACTTTTCTTCACTTTCCATTGCTATTAACTTTGTAAACAGTTTACTCAGTTGTCTTTACATTTAACACACCTGCCTTTTCAGAGTCATGGCAGGCTTTTGATGTGAATGGCACTGCTTCTCTTGGTCTTTGTATTTTGATGTGTGCTTGTGGTGGTTTTTATGTTCTGCTTTAGTAATCTGACCTACTATCTGTTTCTTGAATGCTTCTTATATTTTTATGGGCAGTTGTCCTGGGTTTAGCAGCAGCAGTCATTTTTTCTCCTTCTTGGTAGCTGGTGCAGTGCTGTGTTTTGACTTTCGGGCTGGGAACAAAGCTGATAAAAATGATGTTTTGGTTTGGCCAAGGACTTTGTGAGTCTCATGCTCTGCCAGGGAGGAGGGGAGGCCGGGAGGAAGCAGAGACAGGACACCTGACCCAAACTGACCAAAGAGGTATTCCATACCACAGCACGTCATGCCGAGGGGGGAACTGGGAGGAACCCGGAAGGAGAGGGGGTCGGCCGGGTCGGACTGGTGGTTCGGCGCGTGGTATTGTACTCCTTTCCTTTGCTGTTTTCTCTTATCATTGTTGTCGTTGGTGGTAGCAGTGGTGATTCGCATTGTACACTAGTTGCTAGACTGTTCTTATCTCAGCCCGTGGGAGTTGCATTCCTTCGATTCTCCTCCCCACCCCTCTGGGAGCGGGGAAAGGGGGCGGCAGCCCCTGGGGAAGGGGGGGGGGCGGACTAACGCCTGGCACCACTCACTGGGAGTAAGTGAACAAGCTGTTTGGTTGGGTTAAACCACGACAGCAGTAAAGACTCATGACTTGGCCAACTCCAGTTCTTTACTTCCTTTGCTCACCCAGTAGGATTGTTTGGATGTACTGGCCCTCCTATTAAGTAACCAGATTTCCATAACTCATTTTTTTTTTCCTTTGGCTTCTCCATAACTGTTTTTGCCTTGCACTTCCCTATTGTGAGACTTGCCTGAATTTGTTTACTCTCTGCTTTCTTGAAGACCTGTGTTGGAGCTTTTTGAGCCATTGTCACTCCTTTCCATCTTAAGGGTTATTGGCTAGGTCGGGTTTGGGTTTTTTTTTGGTGGGTGTTTTTCTTTTGTCTTTTTTTCCTTTTTCTCATTTTTCTCATTTCTTTTGCCGAAGTTACATTCATCTTTCTATGCTTACTACTTCCTTCAAATTTTAGTGCTCTTCCAGATTCAGATCAGCCCTGCACAGAAGGACTTGGGGGTGTTGGTCGATGAGAAAATGAACATGAGCCAGCAGTGTGCGCTCGCAGCCCGGAAAGCCAACCGTATCCTGGGCTGCATCAAAAGGAGCATGACCAGCAGGTTGGAGGAGATAATCCTGCCCCTCTACTCTGCTCTCATGAGATCTCACCTGGAGTATTGTGTACAGTTCTGGTGTCCTCAACATAAAAAGGACATGGAAGTGTTGGAATAAGTCCAGAGGAGGGCCACGAGGTTGATAAGGGGATTGGAGCACCTCCCATATGAAGATGATAGGCTGAGAAAGTTGGGGCTGTTCAGCCTGGAGAAGGCTGCGTGGAGACCTCATAGCAACCTTCCAGTATCTGAAGGGGGCATATAGGGATGCTGGGGATGGACTCTTCATTAGGGACTGTAGTGACAGGACAAGGGGTAAGGGGTTAAAACTTAAACAGGGGAAGTTTAGATTGGATATAAGGAGGAAATTCTTTCCTGTTAGGATGGTGAGGCACTGGAGTAGGTTGCCCAGTTAGGTTGTGAATGCTCCATCCCTGGCAGTGCTCAAGGCCGGCTTGGATGAAGCCTTGTGTGGTATGGTTTAGTGTGAGGTTGCAACCCCCCCATGGCAGGGGGGTTGCAACTTGATGATCTTAAGGTCCTTTCCAACCCTAACTATTCTATGATTCTCTCTGCAGGGCAAACATAATTATTGGTAAATGATCTAGTAGAATTAATGACATGATTTGTAAAGGTCATAGTAGTTAGTGTTGCCCTTTGTACGATCAACTAACAGGTTATTTTTAACACATCACTCTAAGGGTGGGTGGGGGTTGTGTGTGCAAACTGAAATAAAGCTACCTGTTTAACGATCATGTCAAAAAATGTTTCATGTGATTTAGACTTCCAAATATATTGTTTCCACAGTCTTAAGCATGCTTTTGGGATTTGGTGTTTATTAGATGCATAGTTCTTACCCTAGGTCTCTAGCTTTCTGTTTGAGTGTGTGCATGTGTGCTGTTGGGGAAGGGTAATGGGAGAGCCCAGTGCCAAACTGATTAGACGTTGTTTGTTGTGGAGAGGGACCAAAGAAGCCTGAAACAGAAGAGTGCTCTCCTGCCTTCTCTGCCTCTTCCTCAGCTCTTCCCATCTGCTGTTGATAATTCTGTGCTAGTCTGATCTCTCTACCTCAGCTCTGTGAAACTTAAATTTTGAACGTGAAATTGAAAGTGGACAACTTGTCTGAAGTATTTTAAGATTTCTTGAATATTGATGCACAGAAAGTAGGACTCTGCAACAGACAAATGTCTCATACTAGCAGTTAATTCAGTATTGAGAAGTGGGGCAAGAAAATCTGCTTTGGTTCTGTGAGTCAAAGCTGCTGATTGCATTAACTGGACTTGCACTCCCTCTTCCCTCTCATTTGCTTGTTTTTCTTTGGAATATTTCCTGTGTTCTGGATAAGTTAATGGGATCTGATAATATTTTTTTGAGTTTTTGTTTTTTTTTTCTGAACAAGTTGTGCTCAAACTTTGTGAAACTGCACTTGAAATATTATATTCTGTGGGATGGGCACTTGAGAGTTTCTAAGCAACAAAAAAAGATTCTTTTTAATATCTTTAATAATAATCTTTGTTAGTTCTCTTGAATATTTTTAGTTGTTTGTAGTCTTCATTGAAGTTTGAGTCACTGTAAGATGCTTTCTGGTGTTAAATTCTGGTGCTTTTATTTCCTTTAAGTATTTCCTAGTGGGCTTGCAGAAAGTATCATGGTATGGTTCATGTCCAACATATTTTTAATAGATTATGATTAAAAATGTTTATGAATGGAATGTAGTTATGATATAGAAAGCTTGAATTGAGTGTTCCAGCTTAGATACTTTCAAGATTTTAAACCCATTTTCTGAGTATTTTATATTTTCAGCCGCTGAAGATGTGTATAAACTATGGAATCTGATTGAAAACAAGGTTTGTGACACAAAGCTACGCTGTAGTCCTGTTCAGCTGTAAATATGGCTGGGGAAATTTTAAAATCAAGCATTAGCTTTATTTTGTGTGGCTAATGTGATGGGAAATGCCTAGAATGTTGAAAACAGACCATACCTGTGAAACAAAGGGGTTTGTTTATGGCATTTTTACAAGTGTTGCATTCTGACTCTGTTCCTTTTTTTTTTTTTTAATGTTGTTTTCAGATCTTGAGTCAGATGACTGTGCATCCATAGACATCTTTAATGTAGACCAACCATCATCCCCTGTAAATCAGCCAATTTGTATTCCTTGCCATGGATTGCAGTCTCACTTCTCTCCTCTTTCACCACCACCAAGACTTCAGAGTCATAAGAACTATGAAGCAACTTGTGAGGTACCAGAATCCAAATATAATCCGCTAGGCGGACCCAAACCCTTTGAGTGCCCTAGTATTCAAATTACATCTATTTCACCTAACTGTCATCAAGGGATTGAAGCCAATGAAGATGAATTGCACACAAATAACACAGAAAATAAGTATATGGAAAGGCCTTCACGGGACCATCTCTATCTTCCTCTTGAACCATCATATAGGGAATCATCCCTTAGTCCAAGTCCTGCCAGCAGCATTTCATCCAGAAGTTGGTTTTCAGATGCTTCCTCTTGTGAATCCATTTCCCACGTTTATGATGATGTAGACTCAGAGCTAAATGAAGCAGCCACTCAAATTACCCTGGGCTCTCCTTTGGCATCCCCTCGTGGTTCTCCAAGAGGCACCAGTGATGAATCTTGGCAGCAGCCATATGGATTTGCGCATGCCTTGTCACCTAGGCAGTCTCCCTGTCATTCTCCTAGAACTAGTATTACAGATGAAAATTGGCTAAGTCCTAGACCAACATCAAGGCCCTCATCAAGACCTACATCCCCCTGTGGGAAGCGACGACACTCCAGTGCTGAGATTTACTATGCTGGTTCTTTCTCTCCTCACCATTCTCCAACTCCATCACCCAGCCATTCTCCCAGAGGAAGCATAACAGAAGACACCGGGCTAAACACTTCCATCCCTAACATACAAGGCCTTAATTCTGGCCTTTCACCATTTCAGTGTTGTACAGAAACTGATATTCCTCTAAAAACAAGAAAGACCTCAGAGGATCAGACTGTCACTTTATCTGGAAAAATAGACATTTGTTCTGAAGAACAGGGTAACTTACCATCATTCCTTGAAACTGCAGTAGATGACTGCTCTGGATCTCAGCACACCTTGAAAAAAGATTTTCCTGGAGAGCAATTTCTTTCTGTTCCTTCACACTTTACTTGGAGCAAACCAAAGTCTGGTCATACTCCTCTATTTCGGTAAGTGATTAGAAAGTCCTTCTCTCCCATTTGTTGCCTCCTGTGCATCTTAAATAGACATGTAAATGTGCTTGTATTTCAGTGATGCATTAAGACTTCTTAAAGAAAACTACTTCTAGGCAGGTAGGTGATATAATTAGGAAAACCAGTTTGAGACACCAAACATCCATCTTTTTCTTTTAAGAATACAGTAGATGCATTGTAACATCAGATTAGTTTTATTTAAAGATAGTTTGTTTGCATGCATGCATGCATGCACGGAGCCCAGCTGAATCAAATGTCTGCAGATTTTCTGAGCTCTTTGTTGTTCGATCTGAGCAGTTAACATTTTTAATATAGCTAAAGAAATGCATGAGTTTGTAAAACTGTGAGAGACTGCAGAAAAAAGTGGGGAGTTTATTTGCTTTTGGTTTTACTTACTTCTTTGGGCTAATAGAATTCTAGAAATAGAATTGAGAAAAAATTTGCATGCCATACTGAAAATCATCCAGAAAGAATTGATTGCTGGGCTGTAGTAACAAGGGCATTTCCACCATCATGGTGCTGAGTTAACTAGATCTTTTCCTTTTGTAGTCCTGTCACGTGCTAGCAGGAGAATTTGTGGAGGCTCAGAAGAGGGAACTAGTTCACTCTGGGGGGAAAATTCACCCTCCTTCCCATTCTGTTACCTTTTAGATGGAACAGTTCTGTGATCTTTCCAACTGTATAGCAGTGTGTGGAGTAGAAATGAGAACTCCTTTAGCAGCATTGCTGTTGGATGGATGGATGCTATGATTACTTGTTCAAGTTATCTATTTGATTCCTGAACCTTTCTTTGCTCTACTGGGTTTTAAAAATAAGGGGTAAGGAGGTACTGGGAGCTGTGGGCATATTTTATGTAGACATTTTGTAAGAAAGCTACATCTGATTAATGTCTGTAAAGCGCAATCATCTGTATAAAAGCTATATTATAGGTTTAAATGTTAGTGCTTCCATGCTGTTCTGTATTGATTTTTAAATACCTGATTAAAATAGTACCATTCTGTCTACAGGCAATGCTTAAGATTTGCTCTTCAAGGGTGTAGTGGATGAAGCTATTTCTCTTTCTTAAAGTGGGGGCCAGGGGATAGGGTAGGATCCTCCACATACTTTAATTTTAAAGAGGCAAACTTAAATACTGAAAGTTAATGGCAAAATAGAATGTTCTTATTGCAAATTCATCCTTGCAAAGTGCTTGTTTTCATTCTGTATTTTTAATTTTAGAAAAAATGGCTCAGAAAATATTAATGGTTTTGAAATTCCCCTACGTCCTCCCCCAAAGTAAGAAAAGCAAAATAAAGAACTGTTTCTGCAGAGATGCCCTGTAGGAGGTTGGGGGTTTTGGTTTGGTATTTGATTGTTTGGTTGGTTTGCTGTTTGTTTTTTCTTTTGAGGGGGTGGGGGGGCTGTTTTCTTTTTTTGTTTGATTGGTTGTTTGTTTTTTTGTGGGGGTTGTTTTTTTTTTGTTTTTTTTTGTTTTTTTTTTCCCCCTCCTGTCTCAGAGTTTTATATTCTTAACAGAAATCTGGAATTAACTATTGCTCAGTAAGCCAAACTTACTGAAGATGTGTTCTTTTGGGGACCTCCCTCAGAAGCACAACTTGTTGAAAAGTGAATGCTGGCTTTTGTAGCAACATGCTAGTTTTTATGTAACTTCCATTTCTGGTGGGTTTTTCCAAATTCAGGTATCATTCTTGCATCATTTTAACGTCTTGATGTATTATTTCCAATGAACAAGCCTGTTGAAAAAAATGTTTTAGAATCCCTGCTCCCATTCTCTGAGTATTAATTAATTAATTCTCGGGGTGTCCATCTTGTGGAATATAGAAGCACTCAGTCATATTGTAAAAATTGCTGTAGCTGACCCTTTCCAAGCATGCTTTAGGCAAAGAACTAATGGAAAAAATTCAGCTGTAACTTTTACTATTGGGTATCTGAGAAGGAAGTTATAAACACAAATGGGTGAGATACAAACCAATACTTTCAGGGTACAGTGAAACTTCCTTAAAACAAGACAAATGAATAATAGCTTTAAGAGTTTCCTGAAGGGTAGCTTCTTACGGTTACAAACAGATTTCAGTGTCCGTCTGAATTCTAACAATGAACATTTTAGGTTTACTGCTGAATGTATTCCTCTGTGTTGGGTTGTATTTATTTATTTATTTATTTAACATCCTTCCACATATCCGTTTATGAACATGATGTTTAACAGTAAAGACTCAAAACTGCTAGATGGAAAATTGTGTTTTACTAGATATACAAATATTGTGTTGACAGATATGTTTACTGTCATAGAATCATAGAATAGTTAGGGTTGGAAAGGACCTTAAGATCATCTAGTTCCATCCCCCCCTGCCATGGGCAGGGATATCACACACTAAACCATGTCATCCAAGACTTTGTTCAACCTGGCCTTGAACACCACCAGGGATGGGGCATTTACCACTTCCCATTCCAGTGCCTCACCACCCTCACAGTAAAGAAAACAGTTTATATCTAACCTGAACTTCCCATTTTACTTTAAACCCATTACCCCTTTCCTATCACTATAGTCCCTGATGAAGTCCCTCTCCAGCATTCTTGTAGGCCCCCTTCAGATCCTGGAAGGCTGCTATGAGGTCTCCATGCAGCGTTCTCTTCTCCAGGCTGAACAGCTCCAACTTTTTCAGCTTGTGGGAGGTGCTTGAGCCCCCTTGTAGCTATTTTTGGGGTTTTCTTTAATTATGTTGCATTTTGCTTATCTCTTAATAAAAGGTGTTCGGTCTGTTGCTAGAATCTTTATTCTAACTAAAAGAATAACTTTTTTTTTCTTAATTGTGTGGGTTTGAATTGGATTATAATTATGTAGGATACACAGCAGTCTGAACTTGCCGTTTTTGTCAGCTCACAGGCTAACATAGTTTGTTAATGGTGAGCAGTACTGAAGGGTAAAAGCACATGAACATATAGGCATGTGGCCAGATGGGGTGGGGATCTATGGTTCTTCTGTGGTATGACTATATTAGTTACAAAAATAGATACTGAGTTAAGTTTGCTTCCTGTTGTAGTGGGAGTAACTGAGCAGAGCTGAATAAAAATTTTACTGTTTGCATTAAGAAGTAAAAGTATTTTTTTAAATGTCAGAATTTATTTAAGGTTGGCACTGAAGAACTTCTCTAATTATAAAATGGGCAAATAGGCAGAAGATAAAGACTTACACCTATTCACAAGTAAACTAAATTAAATTATTAAACTGTATACATTTGCTGCCAAAAATATATTCTGACTATTGAATTAGTGGAAATGGCTGCACTGGCAGCTGTATCCTCAGTGAAATGTTGAATTACTTATGAGTTGTAGCCTGTTCCACAGATGCTATGAAGGTATGCATCTTCAGTATATTAAAATATTTCTTTCTGCCATGTAATATTTTATAATTTGATGCTTATAAAGTAGGGGAGCTAAGTTGACTTTTATGTTTTATTAATAAAAATAAAATGCAAGAAGATCCACTGTTTCTTACATAGTTTATGGTAGATGCCAAAAGTGACTACCTCAGTTGTCATAGTTATATATTAATTACAATTTATATAGTTATTACATATTTTATATAGCAGTATATTGTTATATAAATTGCAGCATATATTAAGGCTAATAAACTTTTTAAAATGTCTTGATTGCATTATCAAGCCCAAAGTAGTGCATGAAGTAAACTGGAGTATTGATCAAGCAGCATGCACACTTAGCAGCAACTCCTGACCATGTTTTCCTTCTTTCTTCTGTGTTCAGTAAGTATGCAACACTTAGCAACATTTAAAATTGTGGAACATGCTTTTGAGCTTTTTAATAGTATTTCAGATGCCATCCAAACACTTTTGTTAGAAGACAGTTTTTTATCCGGTCACAGAAACCCATAATCTGGCAGCATGTAGCATATGAAAAACATGTGTGTTATGTGCCGAGTCACATTTCTGCTTCCTTGTCCAAGGTAAGTCTAGACAAGTGAAGATGGACAGAACCACTGCTGCGACAATTCCTTTCAAATAGGGAAAAAGGATCTAGGTAGTGTCTCCTGTATCTAGGAATAGTGAGGGTTTCTGTTGATGTCCTGGGTTCAGCAGTAGCAGTTGTAATTTTTCTCCTTCTTGGTAGCTGGTGCAGTGCTGTGTTTTGACTTTCGGGCTGGGAACAGAGATGATAACAATGATGTTTTGGTTTGGCCAAGGGCTTTGTGAGTGTCATGCTCTGCCAGGGAGGAGGGGAAGCCGGGAGGAAGCAGAGACAGGACACCTGACCCAAACTGACCAAAGAGGTATTCCAAACCACAGCACGTCATGCCCAGGAGGTAACTGGGAGTTACCTGGAAGGGCGAGGGACTGCAGGGTTGGAGGAGGTTATCAGTCGGTGCTTGGTTGGGCTGGGGGGGGGGGGGCGAGTTCTCGGTCACCTGGTGCTGAGGTGTTGTATTCTCTCCCCTTGTTATTTCCTTTATCATTATTATTACTGGTGGTAGCAGTAGTGATTTGTGTTATACCTTAGTTACTGAACTGTTCTTATCTTAAACCTGTGGGAGTTGCATTCTTTTTGATTCTCCTCTCTGTTCGTCCAGGAGTAGGGGGAGGGCAAGAAGGAGGGGAGTGAGTGGAAAAAGTTGTCTGGCTGGGTTTAAACCACGACAGTTCTTTGTGGCGCCCAGTGTGGGGCACGAAGGGTTAAGCTGACGACAGATCTGTGCAGATTAATAGTCACTCGTCACAATACTGATTTATCGGCTCTCAGAGTTGTTCCTCTTGATCTCACAGCTTCAGAATGTAGTACATTACTTAGAGCCGGTATTTGCTGTGTTAGTTTTTATCAAGTGTGGGGCTTGGGCTAAGGTTTTTGCCTCACTGTACTTTATGGTAATGACTTGTAATACGGGTGGGCTCCAGCAGCAGGGCGGGACGGACGTGGCCGTGGACTGGTACCTGGCCGTCCGGCTGCTCCTCACCGTCCTGGCCCTC